AATTTTAGTGATAAGTGTGCCATAAACAGCATGATCGAGACCCATAAGGAATTGATATACTCGATCGTGTTTCTGTTCAGCAGCAATTGATTTTCTAAAAACACAATTATCACCGGTAGTGCACGCGTCAAACGTTTGGCTGGACTCCAGTTCATCCCAAATGGATCGAAGCTTTGTGTAATACTCTGTAATAGTTTCATCATTTTGTTTCATGGTTGTGAGAGATTCTTTAAGATGAAATATACGGGGAATATTGGCAACAACAAATCGTTCCTTGAAATCATCCCATAGACCTTTTACAGTTTCAAAACACTTGATGTATGGCTGCAACTTAGGGTCTATAGTATCGTGAATCCAACTATTAATTATGGAATTGCACAAGGACCAATCATATGTTTCATCAGGAGCTTTATCAGTAGGAGCAATCACATTGCCAAAAACAAAATCAAGTTTGTTTTTGGCTTTCAAAGCATTATGCATTAGTTTTGCCTTTCATAATTAGTCTGTCCACGTAATAGAATGATGGTAAGAATGACACTAAGATGATCAGATGGATGAAGAAAAAATGGCGAATTGGGATCTGTAATTTTAAGTGATTATGTTACATAACGAAAAAAAATTTAGGATCGTCAAGTTCTTGATACCATAATAAAAATTGTTCTGAATCTTCCGCTTGCTTTATTATTTGTGAAAACAGTCATTATATAGAATGACTATTACAATCAAATAAAATAAATTCTAACAAATCAATAAAACTAATTAACAAATTATTTGTCATCATATTAACAGTATCAAAACAGATAAATCTTATCGTTATATCATCTCATGGCTTACCATAATAGTTCTTGTTGCTTCTGCCACAACTATAAGAAAATTGTGATTTAGCAATGAAAATTAGTGGCTAAATTTGATCGGTCGTTATTAGCGACCGAAATAGTCACTACCTTTCCTTTGTCGCAATTCGAAACTGAAATACCGACAGAATACGCATATTAACGCCTCTTACATCAGTTTCGTTGATATTTTATTTCGCATGCCCCTTACAAGCATACAGGTAAGGTTTTAAAATTCATATTTTTGGGTCATTGACCAAAATATACATTGATATATTTATTAATTATTACCACTAGAAATAGTGGCTTCATCATGGGTTCCTTTCATATTAAGAGGATAAGCCAGAATTAATTTTCTGCATCGGATAGCCACGTTGTAGTGTTGAACTCTAATGAAAAATGTGCAGAACACGATCTGTGACAATTAATGAGGACGTATATGATAGATGATGATTCAAAACAAAGAGTATTAAATGCTCAGATTTCGAAATCAAACACAAATATGTATAGATAATGTTCATAGGCATATTCTACTCATATACACACTGTCACGTGGTAAAAAATATTTTCTTTAAGTGAAAAAAGGTTCATTTCAAAACCCTAAAACCAAATATTGTCTTTAAGGACTCCAAAAAATGTTATAATAAAAAATAATGGCAAAAACTATAATATATAGGATATTTATGGAGCTATTAAAAATATTTTAATTTATAATTATATATTATTCTTCTAGTATATCTCTTATTTTATCAGTTAAATATATGAACAATAATTTAAGAACACTAAAAAACAAAAATCAGTAATAAATTCTTTATTAGGTGTAATATTTACCAACTTTATAATTAATTTATGTAAAGAAAAACCTGAGTGAACAATTCTAATAGCATATTATCTTTCAAATATATTTTTTTTCATTGATATTTAAGCCTAAAATCTTGTTTTAAAAGCTCAATTTCAATACACTGGACCCAAAGACAGTTATTCACAAATTATTAATTTATAAGTATGATATTAATGGTAATTATCTATTCATAATTTTAAAAACATTACCATCGGTGTGGTTTACAAGTTATTACACATAAAAAGTTAAATAATAAATATAGAATATTACTTTCATTTTTTTTTATTTGTCACATCTGATATTATTATTTCTACAACTTAATAAAATTCACCTGCTGAGGCCTGCCACAACTATCTACAACGAAAGTAGATCCATTCCTTCATAGGTAAAAAAAAATGTTTGCAAAATTTTGTCCTATTTCCTGTTAATTGCTTCTTGTATAAAAATTGTGACCCACGGATTAAGAACTGTGCAAGTTATATTTTGAAGACTTGTGAGGAAGCCACCAGTGAAACTTGAAATATCCCTCTTTAGAAAGACCTCGAGCCTTTGCTATAAACACGAGTCTTGAGAGTTAGATGATGGTAAATTATTCTCATAAAGAGTGTTATCTACTTGAGAAAGAGACATCATTTTAAATTTTATAGTAAAATTCTTATATTATTTTAGTTTTATACTTTTTCTTATTAGAAATGTATTTATTCGAATATTGTTTTTATTTCTTTATAAATCTTATGTTACCACCAATTATAATTTATATATATATATATATATATATATATATATATATATATATATATATTATTGTAAAAATATTTTTTTAAGAATAAAATTATGATGAAGTTAAAATTGAATACTAAAAATATAAATTCTTAGTCTGAATTTATTTTATTTTATTTATAAATCTTATATTATTTAAGAATTAAGATTAATAATAATTTATATATATATATATATATATATATATTTTTTTTTCATAATTTATCAAGATATTTTTTAAAGATAATACTATGATAAAGTCGAGTTTGAATTTCAAAATAAAATGTATTTTAGATGGGATTGACCAAAACAATGTTGAGGTCAAACAAAAATATTATTTATATATGTTTCTCTTGTTATTTTCTTGTAAACTTATTTTATGTTACAACTTGTTAGGTTTTTTTCTCCGTTATGCTCCATTTCCCCAACAAATATAAGGTATTTATAATAGGAAAATGTATGATGAATGTATTATTAGTAAGGAGTCATTGGAGCATAAAAAAGAAGATAGATCGGTCATAAATATAGTTGACAAAAAAAAATGGTCATCAAAATGGTATCTATATAATCAATTACATAGTTGCAATAAATTAAGGATATAGTTGAATGACATATGCGTAATTGCATTTAAAAATAGTTAATCATCTCTTATAATAAGAGATTTAGATGTGTGATCCATGATCTATAATATTTTTTCATTTATTGTGCAGATGAATTCTCTCACTTAAAATTTATTTGTTTTTAAATTATGATTCTAATTTTGTTTTATATTTTAATTTTCTATATACATATATGCTTTAGGTATTATAACAATTTATTTATTTTAATTTCACTCTAAATAAAATTTAATAATTAAACTTTTCAAGCAAATAAAGGAATTTACACGACCAACTTTCTAGTTGCAAATTGCAATATTTAAGTGTATTTTGTATGTTGAAACATATTTAGAATATTATCACATTCTTAGCTAGCACATGATTCTTAGATTCCATTCAAAAAAGAGAGAGAAAAAGTCACACGATCGACATTTTTAAAAGGAAAATTAAGAAAATAATTAAAGAAATAAAAAATCATAGGCAACACTGCAATCTAAGATGGAGGTATACATGAGAACAGTTCAAAACGTGTTTTCTTCTACATAATAGATATCTCTTTCTCATTTTTACTCAATCTTAAATCTCAATTTACACTTAGATTTTAAATATTTTTTTTAACTGTAATTTTCTTTTATATTAATATACCTTATTATTGACAAAAATATTTTTAATCACAAATATTTCAGTAATAACCTTATTTATATAATTGTTAAACTCAATAAGACTCTCTTATTTGGAACCTTTGTTAAGAAAATTTTCACCACAAGCTATCCACTCTTATATACTTGAAAAATATAAAATAAAATATATATATTTTTATTATTTAATGTGAAATAATATATATATATATATATATATATATATAACCTGTTTATAAAATACAAAATGTTATCTAATTAAATTACTAAAAAATGTAATTTTTTACTATTATATCAATCTTAATAAAATAATATATAATTTATACCGTGATATTTTACAAAGGAAAGAAAATCGAGAGAAATAACATAAGGAATATTTTCTTATATAAGACATGATTTGAAATTTCAACTATATTGAATAAAAAATTTTATGATATTAAAATTTTAAATATATACCTAATTTGGAATAGATATAAACCAAATATTTCCTTAATAATATTCTATTTTGGATAATGTAATGCGTGGCATGATTTGTAATATCTGTTCATTTATTGTGCATTTGAATTTCTCCTACTTGATATTTATTTCTAAATATTTATTTTTCTAATTTATGATCTATATTTTAATTTTTTATATACTTATGTTTTAGATATTCTAACATTTCTAATTTACTTATTTTCAATATGAGTACAGTGTATTAAAATCACACTATTATTTCAGTTTTTTTGTATGTACTCAGGGATACATGGGAATAACAATCCAACTAATTTGTTAATGACATTATAAGACATTGGTAGACTACCACTTATGTCATTCCAATTAATTTGTAAATGAAACGTATCAAACTTTTTTATTTTAAGATAAAATAATTAATTAGTAATATTTAATTGCAAACAAATATTTATCTAAGACCACCTAATATAACTTACCAGAATTTTCACCATTTTCTAGGTTTGAGTAAAACATAGAAGGTGTTTTGGCATGTAAATAAAAAAAAAAAAAAGTGTTATAAACTATTTTAAATCAGATGCTTAACTTGCTCTCTAACAAAATAATAATGTTTATAAGAAGATTGAAGAAGGAAGGAAAATAAATGAAATAGAAGAAAAAGCAAATATATAATATTAATAATAATAAATAACTCTTGAACAATACAACCCAAAGCCCAAATTAGAAGAATTTTTTGTCATGACAGAAAATCTTCTAATGAGCTTATTTTTAAGGCTGAAGCATTCCATATAACTTAAACAAACACACACACACACTGATACATGCATGTCTTATTGAAAGGTACAAGCACCATACATACAAAAGGAAACCACCACTCATATGTTTAGATAGAGACACTGTTAGGGATTCCTCTAAAAGTAATCCCTGGTTCACTGGTAGGAAGAAGAACAGTGTAGGGCAATTTGACTGGTCCAGTTCGGTTTCTAAGTTCTTCGTTATGGTTCCTCTCCAAGATTTTTACCTCAATTTCTGCAAGTGTTTTTGTAAATGTTTCAAACACATCTTTTGCACTTTGATCAGCGGTCCAATTTGGACTGTTCCTTTGTCCAAGGTATACCTCATCAGAAGCATGTGTTGACAGAATCTCCATCACTGTAAGATCAATAACGGTCTGGTACTTTGGTGTAATTGTTCTCAAAATAGCTTCTTGAGGATTCTTGGCCATCTCATCGTACTCCTGAGTTCCTGGTTCTGGGATCCATTTTCTGCTTTGTGTTGGACGGTTCAGGATATAACCTCCATAAGGATACTGTCCAAAATTAACAGCAGCATGGAGAGCTGAAGCAATCCATATAATAATGGTGCAAGTATCAATCAGATCTTCACGAGTTTGCATTTTTGGCCATTTTGCATCTTTTAAGTCAGGATGACCCTTCTCCACAACTTCCTTCCACCATGCCTGCAATTCAGTATCTTGTTGAACAACCACATCTGTTGAGTAATACAAGGAGATGTACTCTTCGACCCATATCTTAATAGCACTCCATATTTCTAGTCCATCGACCGCATAAGGATAGTCCTCTATCACAAGGCGAAGGCCATGAGGAGCAGACTGATCCTTTACTGCCATTCCTCTGAAACAACCAAAAGATTAAAAAAAAAAAAAAAAAGAGTTATTTTGATAAACAAGGCTTTCTCGATTTTCGCCATCATTAAAAGCGCATGACATATTTCTGTTTTTGTAGTGAGTCCCATAATTGAGCACGTTCATGTTTCTAATTTAGAAAGATTAACTACCTCTTGATGAGATCGTTCGGTAATGCTTGGTCAGTGAAAACCCAATTCTTGTATACAGCTGAAGACATCTCCATAGAATACGGTCCAGGCAAGAACGTTTGCTCTACAATGCTACCTGCATTAATCAGGATTTCCCTAGCAAGTGCATTGATATTTATGGTGTCACGGTAGTGAGGATGAAGAAGTTTATAAACGGGGTGAACCACACTGAGATTTCTGTGTGTTGCTATGGCAAATGGCTCCATCACTGCATGAGTATTTAACCTATGACAGACACCAGTAAAATTACAAAAATTAAATTTCATACTACATGGACTAAACATGTTAGCTTATAAATGTTGCTAGCAGAAAGAGTTCTTATATGTATATACCAGTGGCTTATGAGCTGATGATAGTTGGTGTCATTGACAATAACATGGGCCTTGGCCAATAGCCAGATTGTACTTTCAACACCTTTGTCTGCAGGCAACACAACTTTGCTCTCAACACCCCAATGATAATTTATATCTGGATGTGGCTGGACATCGATGACTGGCAATGGCAACACCGGTTTAAAACCCAAATCACAATCTCTAATCAAACGTGGCTTGCTTAATTCAATCGCAAGTGGCTTCAAAGTCCCGTCATCTTTCAAGAACAAGAATGTCCTGGTGGCATAAGCCTTTGCAGAAGGAAGGTAGTTTATCTTCTTCAAATACGGCATGAAAGCGTCATGGTAATCTAAAACGAATAATCTCTTACAACCAAATGCCTGTTCCCAAAAGTTAATTTCAGTCATCACTTTCTCAATAATTACATACCTTTTGAATAACAAATAATTATCACTTCTGGTTCCTCCATACTAGAAAGAATAATTCCTAACCCTAGTGTTGAAAGATGATACAAATTCTAGAAAGATCTAGAATATAAAATCTTAGATGTTACTAGAATTAGGAATTATATATGAGTAATATCTAGAATCCTTAGAAGATTCTAGAAATGTTTGAAAGTAGAAGATAGATAATTCTAGAATTAAGAAAAGATAGAATTATGTAAAACTTCTAGAATTATGTAGAAAACATATGTGTACTAGTAGAAACTACAACATGATTCTAGAAAAAGAAAAAGAAGAAGAAATGTGTAGAAACAATGAAAATAGTAGAAAATTCTAGAATCTTGTAAGTAAAGCCTATAAATAGGCATGAAGGGAGTCTTTGTATGTGTGGAAAATCTAATACAAACTCCTACATATCTTGTAACACTTCTAACATCAATTACTATCTTCCCTCATACAAACCTTCTCCTATTTGTCCACCTCTTTCTAAAAACTATTTTCTACACAAATCTCACTACTAAACATCAAACTATCTTTCCTATCCTTCTTAAAATACTAACAGTGGTACCAGAGCTACGTTCGGTCACCTACTGGGCGTAGAGAAAATTTTTTACTACCTTAAAAAACCATATTCCACTACACATTACTTCCAAAAGAAAATTTTCAACCTATGGCCACTACCAACCAAACATCATCCATTCCAGTTCCTATTTTTAAGGGAGAAAATTATGATTTTTGAAGAGTCAAAATGAGGACATTTTTTTGTTCTCAAGATCTTTGGGATGTCATTGAAGATGAGTTCACTATTCCAGAAGACATCTCAACTCTTACAGCTGCCCAGAGGAAGGAGCTGAAGGAAAACAAACAGAAGGATTCAAGGGCATTATTCACTCTTCAACAAGCAGTTGATGACACTATTTTTCCAAGAATAATGGGTGCCACAAGTGCAAAGGAAGCTTGGAATACAATTCAGGAGGAGTTTCAAGGAAGTGATGAGGTACGCAATATTAAACTCCATTCTCTAAGAAGAGAATTTGAGTTAATAAGAATGAATGAATTCGAGACCATAAAAGACTACTATTCTAGAATAAAAGAAATAGTTAGTCAGATGAGAGCCTATGGGGAAAATATTCTTGACAAGAAAATTGTTGAGAAAATTCTAATTTCTATTCCCCAAAAATATGATGCAATTGCAACTGCAATTGAACAAACAAAAGATTTATCTACATTATCGGTGACACAACTAATAGGCTCTCTTGAAGCATATGAACAAAGATTGAAAAGGCGTGAAGAAGACTCCGTCGAAAATGCCTTTCAATCAAAACTAAAATTACGGTCTCAAAATGGAGGAAATAAAATTAATAGAGAACTTTCTAAGAATAAGGAAAATTCTAGAAATTTTTCCAAGACTATTCAAGGAAAATATCCTCCATGTGGAACTTGCAAAAAGACAAGTCACTTGGAAAAAGATTGTTGGCATCGAGGAAAACCTCAATGTCAATACTGTAAGAAATTTGGACATCTAGAGAAAATGTGTCGCAACAAAAATCATCAACAAGCAAATTTTGCTGAAAAACGGGACAGAGAACAACATCTCTTCTATGCTACGGGATGTTTTGACAATGAATCAAAAGGAAGATGGTACTTGGACAGCGGATGTAGTAACCATATGGCGAATGATCCAAGCATCTTCAGAGAAATTGATAACTCCATAAAAGTTCAAGTACGATTGGGAAATGGCACCGTGGTAGAGTCAAAAGGAAAAGGTAGTGTTATGGTGGAGACCAAGAAAGGTATGAGACTTATCAATGATGTTTTACTAGTTCCCAATCTTAAAGAAAATCTCTTAAGTATTGGTCAAATGATGGAGAAAGGATATACTCTCCACTTTGAAAGAGATACATGCACTATCTACGATAAGAAAAATCTAGAGATTGGCCAAGTAAAAATGGAAAAGAGAAATAGAAGTTTTCCTATAAGCTTCAATCGAGGAACTAACATTGCCATGAAAGTAGAAGTTGATGACTCGTGGCTATGGCATCGTAGATTTGGTCACTTCAATACTCATGCCTTAAAGCTACTACATCAAAAAGGCATGATGAGAGATCTACCAAGCCTTAAGGAGAGTAGTGAAGCTTGTGAAGGATGTCTTCTGGGAAAGCAACACAGATTACCATTTTCTACGGGAAATACTTGGAGAGCAAAAGACTTGTTGGAGTTAATCCACACGAGATATTTGCGGACCAATGAGGACTCCATCGCTTAATAACAACGAGTACTTCATTCTCTTCATTGATGATTTTTCTAGAATGACTTGGGTCTACTTCATCAAAGCAAAATCGAAGTCTTTAGAATATTCAAGAAATTTAAGGCCCTTGTCGAAAAGCAAAGCGGAAAACGGATAAAGGTTCTCGGGAGTGATCGAGGCAAAGAGTACACCTCCCACGAATTTGATAAATTCCGTGAGGATGAAGGTATTGAGCGACAACTTACAGTCGCATATTCTCCACAATAGAATGGTGTCTCGGAGAGAAAAATCGCACTTGTCATGGAAATGGCAAGATCAATGTTGAAAGAGAAAGGCTTGCCAAATACATTTTGGGCAGAAGCAGTTTACACTGCTGTATATATACTCAATAGATGTCCAACTAAGGTAGTCCAAAACAAGACTCCTATTGAATCTTGGAGTGGAAGAAAGCCATCAGCTAAACACCTACGAATATTTGGATCAATTTGCTACATACATGTTCCTGATCAGAGGAGGCATAAGCTTGAAGACAAAACTATAAGAGGAATATTCTTGGGATACGACCAACGATCAAAAGGCTATCGAGTCTACAACCTACAAACAAAGAAACTCGTCATCGATCGAGATGTTGAGGTTGACGAAAATGCTTTTTGGAATTGGGAAGAAGAAAAAGTTGTTAGAAGCAACATCCTGGTTCCGAGTACAACAACTTGAAGAAGAAACAGGAGATCCAGGTACGCTTTCTCCACCTCCACAAGAAGAAGAAGAATATACTTCACCAGAGTCTACACCAAGACGTGTAAGATCTTTGGTAGATATATATGAAACTTGTAACATGGCCATCATTGAGCCTTCCTGCTATGAAGAAGCTTCAAAGCAAGAAGTATGGGTCAAGGCCATGGAAGAAGAAATCAAAATGATTGAGAAGAATAATACTTGGGAGCTTGTGGACTGTCCTCACGGAAAAGATATCATTGGAGTAAAATGGATATATAAAACTAAGCTCAACCTCGATGGAACCATACAAAAATATAAGGCAAGATTGGTTGCAAAAGGATACTCACAACAACCTGGGATCGACTACAATGAGACTTTTGCTCCAGCTTGCTCGCCTAGATACAATTAGAGCTTTAATAGCCCTTGCTGCACAAAAGGTTGGAACATCCATCAACTGGATGTCAAATCCGCCTTTCTCAATGGAACACTAGAAGAAGAGATCTATGTTGAGCAACCACAAGGATTCATCAACAAAGGCCACGAAGGAAAAGTACTAAGACTAAGAAAAGCTCTATATGGCTCGAAGCAAGCTCCTCGAGCATGGTATAGTAAGATTGATAAATATTTTATCAATCAAGGATTTAGGAGGAGCAAGAGTGAGCCAACACTTTATATCAAGACACAAGGTCGAGTATAATCTCATTGTCTCCTTATATGTTGATGATCTCATCTATACAGGAAACAATAAGGAAATGATGAAAGAATTCAAAGAAGATATGATGAAAACATTCGAAATGACTGATCTTGGCTTGATGAACTACTTCCTCGGGATAGAGGTGATACAACAAAAAGAAGGAATATTTATCTCTCAGAAGAAATATACTGAAGCTCTACTAAAGAGATTCAAGATGTACGGATGTAAACCTGTCACTACTCCTTTGGTGGTAAACGAAAAGCTAAAGAAAGATGATGGAGCACCAGAAGTAGATGTATCACGATACAGGAGTTTGATCGGAAGCCTTCTATATCTCACAGCTACACGACCAGACATTATGTATGCTACAAGTCTTCTGTCAAGATTCATGCAAAAGCCAAGTCAGATTCACTATGGAGCAGGAAAAAGGATTTTAAGGTATCTGCAAGGCACAAGAGAGTTTGGTATATGGTACAAGACCATGACCAACTCAAGGATGATTTGCTACACCGACGGTGATTGGGCAGGATCAATAGACGACATGAAGAGTACGTCGGGATACGCCTTCTCACTTGGATCGGGTTTTTTCTCATGGGCATCAAAGAAGCAAGCAACTGTGGCACAATCAACAGCTGAAGCGGAATACATAGGCTGCTGCTGAAACTACAAGTCAAGCAATATGGCTACGAAGAATACTTGAAGAAATGGGCGAACCACAAGATGGACCAACTACTATTTATTGCGACAACAAATCAAGCAATAGCAATGACGAAAAATCCTGTTCATCATCAAAGAACAAAACATATAGCTATTAAATATCACTTCATCGAGAGAGGTGAAGCGACTAAACAAATTCAACTTGAGTACTGCACTACGGAAGATCAAATTGCGGACATATTTACCAAGGCACTACCAAGAGCCAAGTTTGAACAATTACGTTTCATGCTTGGAGTTACAAGAATTTGCATCAAGGAGGAGTGTTGAAAGATGATACAAATTCTAGAAAGATCTAGAATATAAAATCTTAGATGTTACTAGAATTAGGAATTATATATGAGTAATATCTAGAATCCTTAGAAGATTCTAGAAATGTTTGAAAGTAGAAGATAGATAATTCTAGAATTAAGAAAAGATAGAATTATGTAAAACTTCTAGAATTATGTAGAAAACATATGTGTACTAGTAGAAACTACAACATGATTCTAGAAAAAGAAAAAGAAGAAGAAATGTGTAGAAACAATGAAAATAGTAGAAAATTCTAGAATCTTGTAAGTAAAGCCTATAAATAGGCATGAAGGGAGTCTTTGTATGTGTGGAAAATCTAATACAAACTCCTACATATCTTGTAACACTTCTAACATCAATTACTATCTTCCCTCATACAAACTTTCTCCTATTTGTCCACCTCTTTCTAAAAACTATTTTCTACACAAATCTCACTACTAAACATCAAACTATCTTTCCTATCCTTCTTAAAATACTAACACCTAGTAGTCAAGAAAATATTGAACTAATTTATTCTAAGATATTTAATATTTTTTCCATTCAATCATCTTTTTGTAGTATTAATCCGTGTATATCGTTACCTCATCTACCGTGATCCCACCCATGTTAATCTCCAACTGTTCTTTTGTAATTGTACTAGCTTGATTAGAGTGGCAATCTTGGTTGCTTCGCGGTGCAAGATCCTCCCTCTGCCATTAATAACGATTTCCAATAATCAGATAGATAGCTAATGCCAATAAAACATTCAGCATGTAAAGATCACTGTATATTAACAATGAAATTAATATTTGTACTTACTTTAAGAAGGCGAATTACACAAGGGTTTACACCAGCAATCATCTCTCTTGTAAACTCTTCATCAGTCATCCATGCAAACTTGCTTTCTATACAAAATAATGATAAAGCAAATGAAGTTGTGAGAGAGTATAATGATTGGAAGTAGTTACGTTGGAGTGCCACATGAACTTTATATAGGTGCTTCAATTATGAACAAGTTACCTTGAATTACACGAGGTGGTGGAAACTGAAGAACATTTTGAGTACCCGGGCCAGTGACAGATACAGGGAGAGTAATGCCACCTTCATACATTTTCTGCACTTCTTCGAAGCTGTTAAACTCGTTCGATGTGAGCTTCAAATATAAAGATACGAGCAAGGGTTCGACACCTGCAGCTAAAGTTTTCTTTCCAAATTCAAGGAAACCTGATGTCTTCACGTGACTGAATTTTTCATCCCTTGGCACATAATTCTGGCCTTGTTCCTCGTATTCGCTACCTGCAAGAACCATGTTAATAATTTTAGCACATCAATTATATGTAAGATAACTTTTTATCCTCATATTCTCTTTTCAAGGAGATCTTATTTGAAAGAAAAATGATACTTTCACAACTCAAATCCATTCAACTCCTGTAAACAACTCTGTTTTAATATTATAATAATAGTTTTACTTTATTTTTATTTTTATTAAATCAGTCTATAGATTATTATATTAATAAAAGTGAGTTGTATAGATTATTATATTAATAAAAATGAGTTGTTTATAAGAGTTGTATGATTTTTTGTTGTAAAAATATCACCACTCTATTTGAAATACTATACGATATTATGCATAGTTGCTTTTCATAACAAGAATTCAAACCTTTATCAGTAATGTGTTAAGGAAAGTGGTTCTTAAGACCTAACCCTTGGAATGTAATTAGAACATGATAAAGTGTAACTTAATCACCATTCTTGGGGTTGTGGATGAGTTTTCTCCCAGTCCTAACCCTACGAGGGTAGGGATAGTGGGGGCCTCCAAGAATTGGGTGATCCTGTTGTATATCACTGTCTAGAAAGCCCAAATCATTATAGACATCATAATCATAAATCCTATCCCATTCCTGACGCTGTCCAGTTCCATCTCCCCTTAAACTCTTCAACTCTTCTTCTCTGTACTTTCGTAATGTCCCTGGTGTCTGATTCCCAGGAAGATATGGCTGCATGCAATATATTTAAGTATCAACTAATTTTCTCATTTAAATTAAGAATGAAATAAGAATGACTGTGACTTATTCACTTACAATGTTGTCAAAGAAAATGCGATCCGTTTTGTAACACTTATGATTGTGAACCCACGAGTTACAAACAAAGTGAATCTTGTTTTTGTCCTTGTTCTGGTGGCATGCTGGAAATGGATATTCAAGAGTCAAACTGGCAAGGAAGAACTCATCATTCATCAAGTTTTTAACGTAAAATGCTCCTGGAATTCCCATCTCAGCAGCATCCCATTCAAAATAAATATCGAATTCCTCTCTTCTCTCACCCAAGCTTCGTAACACAGAAACATTATTCTCTAGACAAGTTTCCTTTCCAACTTTCCCAGCTCCATCTCTTGCTACAAAACCAAGCAAATTAAAATCCAAATTAACAAAGAAAATAGTATATGTTCACGTAATGTAATTAAGATTTTTCTGAATTGATGATATAATATAATAACTTTTATAATGTATGCTATTAAACTAAAAAAATAAAAAACACGAGAGAGGGAGAAGACTAACAGCAATGGTTGGATTTGGTTCGACTAATCAACTTGAAAAACACTGATTTAGTGATATCATATTCCACTGATGAACTCATTAGTTTGATGGCAGAGCTAACAAGCTCCTTGGCATCGGTTACAGTTTCAAGCACATTCTTCTGCATCAACACCACCCTTCCCTTGACCACCCTTGAACTCATTGCTGTAGCAACTATATTTTCTTATGGATCGGAATATGCTAGAGATTTGTGACTAGTGAGTTGTGAGGAAGCCATTAGTGTAATCTAAGGTATTTATAGATAGAAATATATGATTCACGTGTTAGAAATACTGATGGAGAAAAAGACATAAAAAAGAAGATAGATCTGTCGTAAATATGATAATGAATATATTTATTTTTGTATTAAGAAAAATAAAGTAATGGAAGCAACAACTACCTATACCTAAAGTTTCGTTCATCATTTATTTTGTTGGCCCACTTTTGTTTACTTGTACTATTTTTTGTTCAAGTTTATGTTTTTGTTTGCAAAACATAATTAATAAATTACCACAGCAAAGGTGGATTACACAGTGTTCTTGTTGCAAGAAGTCAGCAACTGGTAACAAATAACCAAACATATGAACGCGTTTTGCATCACTATCGTTAATTACGTAACGATCTTTTCCATCATCATCTAAATGTTTATTTTATTCTTTCCTCTTAATCTTCCTTTAGATAGGAAAGTGACTTTGAGAGGTGGAAAAGTAAATTCATTTTAACGGTGATATATCTATTGGAATCCTTTCAAATCTGTCCTCAATTACATCCTATAATGTTTCTAGCGAATTTAGGACTTGTCAACGTATCTTCTTACATCAAGAAAATATCTTCCTCTTATTTTTTATTTTTTTTCAATGGTGTAATATTGATTCTGATTTAGTTCTCGATCATTAATTGATAATGTTTTAATATTATTAATATTGACTCTGATATTATTTTAGAAAGACCGAGATACTTTATTTAATTAATAAGTTATAATATTCATAATGTTAGACTTCTTAATAAAAAAATGAAAAAAATAATAAAAATTAAAATGATTTAAATTAAGAAAAGGAAGAGAATGAGAAGAAATAAATGAAAACTAAAAATATATTTATTCATTTCAGTATTTTCAAAAAAATTTTAAATTATCATATAATCGATTTATAATAAATTATGTATTACATATTTAACGTTTTTATGTTTTTCTTTGCAAAAGTGAGAAGATAATTTTTTTTTAAATCCAAACCAATATTTCCAAAAATAAACTTTCTTTACATTGAAAAGAGACTTTTCAAAAGTAAGCTATTAGTTTTTTTTTTTTCATGTTAATATCATTAACATATTATATATATATATATATATATATAATTATATCAATGTTACCTATAATTTTTCATTTGATATGTTAATAAAAAAAATACTGACTCACTTAAAAAAATATAAAATCAAATTAATATTAGGATAAAATTGAAAAAAAAATATATGGAGATGGAATGACCTATTTAACATATATTATTTTATTAAAAAAAGTTTTTATTACCCATTTGTTATGGATTTTATCAGTAAAAGAATAAAATTTTCTTCGGCAATCATTATAGAAATCGTAATCTAAATTGTTAACAAATTGTATAAATTAGTTTTTCTAATCTAAATTCGAACATGGTTTTAGTCTTTTATTGTTATAGTATTCTTCTTGTAGAACAAGGACAATAATATTTAACTTAAATGAAAATTACTTAAATCGATTATTATTAATTATACTTTTATATATATATATATATATATATATATATATATATATATATATATATGTGTGTGTGTGTGTGTGTTTTGTGTTCTTGCATTTTATCATGTTGAATTGTATATTTTGCCGACAATTAGTTTTTTATTTGAAATAAAAGGAAATAAAAAAATTTTCTTTTTAGTATAATGAATTTTTTTCATTAATTATTTTAACATTCACTTTTTTATAAGACAAATGTTAAGGTTGAACGTTAACCAAATCGTTAATTATAATTAATTGAACCCTAGCAGTTAGCCATGGATGATAATTGAAGAGTTTTCAAAATAAGGTAAAGAACGAAACTTTTCCACCTTTAAGATACGTTGAAAAAAAGTGTACGAAAAAAAAGGGGACAGAAAATAAAAGAAAGAAAAATGAAATAGAGTGAAAAGAAAGAAATTTTTATTTTAAAAAATAACAAATAATTAAATTAAAATTAAATATTAATTTTAGTTAAAGATTATTGATATAATTAGTAATTGATTTTTTATTAATAAAATAAAATTTAAAAATATTATTTTTAAATTATATATTTATTTTTTCTATAATATGTATTTTGATATATAATTATAACTTTTTTTTCTAAATTTAATTAAAATTTAATTAATAAAAGAATATCATATTATAAATAAATAAAAATATATAAACTTATTCATTTGATTTTTAAAATCACTTTTTTATTTATAATATTTTTTAAAATAGTAATATATATATTAAGATCGGAAACAGAATAATAATTTATTTAAATGATAATAATTTTATAAAATAACATATTTTTTATTTTTTACTCTTTTCGCTTTCATTTTAAAGGAAAATAATATTTTTTATTACTAAATAAACAGAATTTGTTACCCCTTATTTTTCTATATTGATATTTTCCACTTTATATTTTCCTATAAATCAAATCAAGCAATCGATTTACCACGTTATGTGATTTAAAAAGATATATGAATTTGAATAAAATTAAAGACAACAATATAACAAACATTAATGCTAGTTTATAAATAAAATTTATCAGAAGCTTTTCATATAAAAGTAAGATTTAGAAAAATTATAAAATGTATATTCTATAACAATACCACTTTTTGTTCTCTAATTTTTATTAAACCACATTATCTTTTAATTATATTTTTAACCATTCACTATATGCATGTTAATTTTTCAGATTCTGGCAAAAAAAAAAACATACATTAAAAAATTAAAAAAATGAAAAATAATTTAATATTTTAAAATGAAAAATATATACACAAACAAACATTGAATCTGTTTCTCATATATAACATTATTATATCATCACTTGAAATGAGAATCATCCATTGTTTTAAATTTAAATTCACATAAATGTTTTATAATTTATTTTTTTGAAAATTTTATTTAATATCCCTTGGAGTGGTCCATTGTATCAGTAATAGTATATATATAAAGTTTTTGAAGGATAAAAAAGTGTTTTTTGATGTGTCGACGTGCATATGTATAAGCCACAAGTACCTTCTGATTCATTAAAATTCATGACTGTATTTTTAAAGCAAGAGAATGATAATTGCATTGTGTGGTACTCCAATCTCAGTAGGTACCATAAAAGTTTCAGCGCCACTATGGCAAACTTTATGCTACTAGATAAACCCTATTCTAACCATTTTTCTACACATCACATTATTATAACTCAACTAAATAAATAAATATATATATTAATATTAGTAAATTATGCTGAGAAAGCTCAACGATATATTATAATATATAAATAAATAAAAATTTTATCTTATAAAAAATTTATCATATTGATTCATAGTTTATTTTTATACTAAATTTAACTCAATTTAATAAATATTTTATAATATCATAAATTTATTAATAATAATATTTTTTATAAAAGAAAATAATATCCATTAATTTATTTATAATATAATAAATTTGTTAATAATAATATTTTTTATAAAAAAATAATAAATATTACTAGTCACCATAAATTATAATTAAAGTTATAAATATAAAATATATTAAATAATATAAGATAATTATTAAAATAAGATAAAAATATAATAAAATAATTATTATTTAAATTTGGTGTAATTAATATAGAATAAATAAAAAATTAAAATATATTATATTTTTATAAAAAATTATATTAAAAAAATTGATTTTTTTATTAAAACCGGCCAATCCAAAAATTTTACCAATTTTACTAATTTCATCTTTTTTTTCTAATTTAATTAAAATCTAATTATTTAAAAATGACATATTAATTTTTAATCTGATTTTTCATTAGACTAATTGAACGGGTCAGTATAATTTTAAAATAATTTTTATTCAACCAATAATAATATAGAATTTTGCTAGTTTCATTGTAACTAAAATATGTCTAGAAGTTTTACTTTACATAAAAATTATAATATACGTAAAAGAAACTCATAAATCTAATATCATAAATTTTAAATTAAAAATAATATAATATTCTTTTTCGTATAATTCATTTATTAAACATGTACCTTCTACGAGCCATTACACCTCCCATACAATAAACAGTTCTAATAATTAATAGCACCATTATATCACTTTGCATATTTTCAAACGCAACAACGTAAAAGAACTTTTAACCACGAATAAGAAGGTGCAACAAAGTATCTTTTTTCATGCCATACACTTGATATATATATTTACCACCATTTTAACTCAACCATTTGAATTATTTTGGTTTTTTTCATTTACAATATCCTATATATAGAATAGAGATCATGTTTAAAATGGTGCTAAATACTATCAACAGTGCATTATCCATACAATAAAACTTGCGTAAGGAAATTTCAACTTTAATGGAGTGAACGCTCAGCACATTGTGGAGACTTTCATTCAGAGAATCCATGAAATTATTTCTTTTTCTTCCTCTTTCCACTGTCAGCTTGTTTTATATTGTCTTTCTTTTTGGAAGTAATATATTAGCATTAATTCTAAATGTCACGCTAATTACAAAAGTTCATACCAAATAATAATACTTTGCGAGGAAATTTTAGGCTGTCACCATCAATGAAAGAATAAAATAAAGTTTATTATTATGATTTTGCAGCACCTGTTTTTGCAACAAAATCGGTCGCTGAAGATTTTTTGACATTTTGTAGCGGATTAAAGTCTTTCTTTTAGTAGTGTGAAAACTCTACAAATTACATTGAAATAAAACATTTTTTTAAATGATTCACAAGTTTTATTATATAAATAATAATATTGAAAAAAATTCAACAAATGTTATTTAGTCGAACATTAATATTATTACAAATTTTTATAAGTCTTATAAAATTATATTTATTTGTTCTTATTTACGTTTCATTTTTTCCCGTTAGGGAAACAAATAAAATCTTTCAGTTGTTAAAAAAATATATATTTTACTTCTTATAGATAAATTTTATCTATTTTGTATCTAAAGCATAGAATTGTTAATATTCCTATTCGGTCAAGATAGATTAAGTTGTTTTGGGTTGATGTCAGCCTAGTCAAACCTAATCAAGTTTTTCATAATAATGATAATGAATGGAGTATTAACTAAAATATTTATGTTTATATTTTTCTTTTTGAAGAAACATCATTGATTAAAAAAGAAAAAATTATCTAGATTTATACATTTGTACTCAAATTGTTTCTTATAATGTTAGTTAAGTGAAAAAGATTGTTTCAAACAACACCTTTCATGCAGTGTAAGTACGATCCCATTGAATATAAAGAGAAACACACCGATCACATTCATGCACAGATTGATAGTGTACGTGACTCATCTACAAAGATTAGAACTCAGCTCCAAAAACAATGAAAGGAACAAACGATGTGAAATTTCTCAACATATGTAGAGTTTTATAAGCAAATGAATTTTATTACTTAAAGAAGGGCTTAACCTTAAGCATAGGACATGCCAAGATCAGCATAGAAGGTTTGATACATAGCACAACCACTTACTCGACCAAACTGAAATCAACAACCTTACACATGCATGAGCTTATTTAGAAAAACACTGATATGACACTTAAATAGAATGTTACTCAAACAACCACAGAATACAGTACTGAACATCACACGGCACACAAGCTTTAATCTGTTATTAACAATACTAGAGGGAGCCACACTTGCACTGTTTAGATAGAGATACTGTTAGGAATTCCTCTGAAAGTTAACCCTGTTTCACTGGTAGGAAGAAGCACAGTATAGGGCAATTGAGCTGGCCCAGTTCGATTTCTAAGATTTGGATCATGATTTCTTTCTGAGATTTTTTTCTCAATGTTTTCAAGGTTTTTTCCGAATTTTTTAAAGCCTTCTACTGCTTTTGGATTAGAGATCCAATTTGAACCATCCCTCTGTCCAAGGTAGACCTCATCAGAAGTATGTCTTGACAATATTTCTATAACTGAAAGGTTAATAAGAGTCTGATACTTCGGTGTAATTGTTTTCAAATACGCCTTCTGCGGATTTGTCACCATCTCATCATATTCTGGAGTTCCTTTTTCCGAGATCAATCTTCTGCTAAGAGTTGGACGATTAAGGATATAACCACCATAAGGATATTGTCCAAAATTAACAGCAGCATGAAGAGCCGAAGCAATCCATATAATAGTACTACAGGACTGGATCAACTCTTGACGAGTCTGTAGTTTAGGCCACCATGACTCATCTTTTAAGTCAGCATGGCCCTTCTCAATAACTTCTTTCCACCATGCTTTAAGTTCACGGTCTTCTTCAACTGCATCATCTGTCCCATAGTACAAGGAGACGTAGTCTTGGACCCATGTCTTAATAGCATTCCATATTTCAAGTCCATCAACAGCATAAGGGTAGTCCTCTATCACAAGACGAAGGCCATTAGGAGAAGATGAATCCTCAATAGCCATTCCTCTTAATCATGAAAGAAAAAGAATGTTATTAAAAGCAATAATATCTTAAATAGTTATGATGAAGGCCATTGTGTTTTATAATCAAGAATTATGTTACTTAATGTTTTTAACCTTTAAACAAGTTACTTTTTGACATGACTTAATAATATCGAGACTCAACTAGTCATGAAATCAATACTTGTTGCTCTTATTTTACAAAAGAGAAAATTCAATTTTTAAAGCAAGATAAAAAATAAAAAGCCTGAAAAATTTCCATGCTTCAAGATCATAAAACTTCTAGAGATAGGTCAGATACAATGTTTTAAAAAACAGTGTGAAGATATCGGCTTCAATGGCAGCGCTTATGACCCGTATTTGTCAATAACATCAAGGATAGTGACGAAACCGTGACCGTGAGATAACTTAAAACCGTGGTTAAATTAATATCAGATCATTTACACGTTCATGTTCATGTGATTTACCTCTTGATAAGATCATCTGGTAATGCTTGGTCAGGGAACACCCAATCTTTGTATGCTGCTGAAGATATCTCCATAACGTACTTTTCACCCAAAAAGGATTGCTCTATGATGCCATCAGCATTAATTAGAGATTGTCGAGCAAGTGCATTGATATTCATTGTGTCACGATAGTGAGGAAATAAAAGCTTATAAACAGGATGAAGAACACTGAGATTCCTGTTTGTTGCAATGATAAAGGGCTCAATCACAGCATGAGTATTCAACCTGTGACCCCATATGAAAAAATAAATTAAGAATCACTTCATATACGCATATATTATTTTTTTTAGTAATGATCTCAGTGGAAGAGTTACCAGTGGCTTATGAGCTGATGATAGCATGAATCATTCACCACAACATATGCCTTAGCCAACAGCCAAATTGTACCTTCCACCCCTTCACTTGCAGGCAAGATGACTTTACTATGGGCACCAAGTTTTTGTCCACCTGAATGTGGTAAACTTAATTCGATGGCTAATGGCTTCAAGGTTCCATCATCTTTCAAGAAAAGGATTGTCCTCGTGGCATAAGCTTTTGTTGATTTGGATGCATTTAGCCTTCCCAAAAATTGCATAAATAGGTCATGGTGATCTAATATGAATAGTCTCTGACCTTCAATTGCCTGTTCCACAAATTCGATGACATATACAATTTCATTGATTCAGATGACATATAATATGGCTTAATGCAGCGGTTTAGATAAGAAAATTTTTCACAACATCTTCCATTTTTTATTATAGTTCAAATACGTAAGAGCTAACAAAATTATGCAGGTTTTATTTTTTATTTAATATGTCTAATACTATTTTATTTGATTCATGGAAGATAATTTGATCAAGACATTGTTGAGAAACAGCTTTCAACAGAAATACAACTTTGTTTACTATGTCATGAGAAGTTACACTTTTTATTTGGTCTCTAACTTGGTTAGTATCGTGATATTTTATAAGTTTTAATAAGTTTCAGTTAATAATAAAAAGTATGTTGTATAAGAGGGAATTTGAAAATGTGCTGCGAGCATTTATCATGGCAGAAATTCTTGTAAAATGATTTATTGAAGTGAAAACATCATTGCCTTATCTACTGTTAACCCTTCAAGGTTTATCTCCAAGTGTTGTTCAGTCATTTTACTGGTTTGATCACCATACACTGAGGGATCCAGCTTGCTCTGTGGTGGGAACTCCTATCATCCATTAAAAAATATTATGAGGAAACATCAAACAGTTATTTTTCCTTCATTTTATTACACTTCAACGTAGAAAGTAAAGAATAAAACATTTGGATTACTTGTAGACAGCGAATCACACAAGGGTTAACACCAGCAAGCATCTCTCTGGCAAATTCCTCATCAGTCATCCATGCAGATTTATTAACTGCTCCGAATAATAAAGAAAATAATTGTCCAACTCAATTACATAATCCCTCATAATATACATACAAATATTTACTTATCTTCAAAGTAAAGTTGATTCCTAAGATACATGATGAGTTCAATAACTATTTAGGTCAAACATGACAAATGTATATAGTATTACCTTTGATTAAATGAGGTATAGAAAACTTGAGGACATTAATTTCACCATCAGTGCGGAAGATTTCCTTGAGCACAGGTAAGGGACTAATTTGGCTAAGTATATCTGTAGGGAGCCTAAGTCCACCTTCACAGAGTTCACGTACGTCTTCGAAGCTACCAAACTCATTCGGTGTGAAGTTTAAATCAAATAAAGATTTGAGTAAAGGTAAGACATTACGAGATAAAGCTTTAATCGCAAAAGAAAGGAAGTCAGATGACTTCAAGTGACCGAAATTTTCATCTCTTGGAACATACACCTTGCCTGGTTTCTCGCATTTGGGGTCTGTCAAGAACATGAACTCCAAATGTCAAAATCTCCCAGATAACATTATCTTTTATAATAATCATACTTACTTGTAATTAGTTGGTTTTTAAAAATTAGCAATATGAAAATTAGACCATTTTGTGAAGATATTATGAATGCAAAATTGAGTTTTTTTAATAAATAAAAGTGTAACCTTTCTTTGTTGGTTTTCGACCAGTTCTTCCCCTACGAGGATAGGGATAAGTGGTAGATCCTCCAAGAACAGGGCGAGCAAGGTTTTTACCGCAGTCTGGATTGCCCAAATCATTGTATACATCATAATCATAAATTCTGTCCCATTCCTTGCGTTTCCCTCTTCCATTTCCTCTTAAGCTCTTCAATTCTGCTTCTCTGTACGTCATTAGTGGACCTGGTGTTTTACTTGTAATGTATGCCTGTAATGTACATATTTAACATTCATTATTCAAGTAGGAACTAGCAAAACCACCATACTTTGCTACCTTAGTTTCTGTATATATGTTTAAATAATTTACCTCGTTGGCAAAAAAAATTCGATCATCTTCATAATCTTTATGATTGTAAACCCATGAGTTGCAAGCAAAGTGTATGGTTCCTTTATTAGGAATGTCTTCGAGAGTCAAACTGACAAGGAAGAACTCAACTTGCATATTATTTCTTATGATAAATGCTCCAGGAATTCCCATGTCAGCATCCCATTTGAACTGAACATCAAATGCAGATTGCTCAACTCCCAAAGTCGGTGTGGAGGTAATAATACCTTCCAAATAGGCCTTCCTTCCAACTATCCCATTTCCATTAGCTGTTTATACACAAAATGAAGCACTAGTTAGTACTTGAGAGTATGTTAACGTATGTAGTAGTAACATCTAACACTGTGATAACAGTATGCAGAAAATCATTTTTCTGATAAAATTGACAGAAAATGACTGCCACTAGGTCAAAACGTCTCCATGTCAGTTCCCTTACGAAAATTCTTAGTTTGGTTTTGAAATTACCAGATTAAAAAGCTACATGCATGCATGATGTAAACCACCTCTTAAAAATTATAATAATATTTTACATCTTATTTTCTTTTTTAAGGTGTATACACTTAAGGTTTATACTCAAATTTTTAATATATATTTTTAAACCATTACACATATAGAATCTTTATTAATTTAATTATCTAAAATATTCTATTCATGGCACAAAATTTAAGTATGAAGAATAATTTTTTATAAAACAATTATTTTCCTTTTTTCTTATTTATTATTATTTTTTTCTTTCCTCTACATTCACTCCTTACTTTTATTTTTCATCTCACATCATTTATCCATTGTTTTTTTCTTCTGTCTTTTCTTTCATTCTATCCTATTCTTTTATTTTAAAATACTATATTAATATTTGATAAAAATATGTTCGAATAATTTTTTTAAAATCAACATTGAAGATAATAAAATATTTATTTTAAAGTATTTTTTTATTAATTTTTTTTAAATTAATTAATCCAACTAATCATAATAATCTTATTTAATTATAACTAAATTAAATTATTAAATAAAAAATAAATTCAAATATTTGATATTTTTTAATTAGATGTGTAATTGATTTATATTTGATAAAATAATTTTAAATAACTAATTGATATTCTTTATAGTCAGAGTTGTCAAAGGGACAACTAAGACATATTCCTCATGCTAGGAAAAAAAATTTAATGATTCTGTCTAACCATATTTTTAAATACCATAATTTTTTTATATAATTTGAGTTTTAAATAGAGTTTATATTAGGTCAATAAAAACAAATTATTAACATATTTATAAAAATAATTAATTAAAAAAAGTATAAATTATAAATTTAAAAAATTATAAATTATAAATTTAAAAAATTTAAATTATATTAATAAAATTAATTTTTATTTTAAATATAATTATATAATATACAAATTATAGGAAAAAAATAATTTAGTCTCAAAATAAATATTAAAAAATTATTCTCATAATTTATTTTTTTAATTATTTATTAATCTAAAATAATAATTTATCTTAATTATTAGATTATAAAAATAAATAAGTGGATATGAGAGATTTCAACTTATATTTACTCTTATAATAAAATAATTATTTATCAACTTAATTTATAATATATATATATATATATATATATATTAATAAAATATTATTATTTTTATTTAAAAAAATTATTATTATTCTATAAAATAAGTTAATTTATAATTTTTTATACTAATCTGGTCTGTCTATATTAATCATGACATCCATAGATAAAATCAAAATAGACTTATTCAATTTAAGTCATAAATTTTTTAGTTTGATCTAAACTTATTTTTCGTACTTTTGGATTCATCAATCAGGTTAAAATTATTTTAACACTCTTATTTTTAATTTCAATGTTAATTAAAAAAATTTAACATTTTTAATAAATTTAAATAAATGAAAAAGAAAAAATAAAAAAATATGACCCCATATTAATAGTAAATAAGTCAAACTGATAAAAAAAATTATTTAAATAATTTTTTGTTTAAAATATGTTATTTTTGACATTGATTAAAAAAGAATGAAAAGAATAAAAGAAAAATATAATATAATATAAAAAAATGGTGTTAAAAATATAATATTTATTAATGTCTATTAGAAAATAGAAGTTGTGTTGTAAGCTTGACATGTTAATAAAGGAAAATTAATAAATAATCTTAATTTGTAAAAATATACAGAAGAAACAATAATAATAAAATCATCACAAATTATAATTATGTAATCATTTTAAAATATTATGTAAGCTAAGTTATAGTTTTACTAAATATAAGAAAATATTACATTTACTATGTGAAAATACAACTTAAACGTTGTTAATTACATTTTATTTGTTTAATAATATTTTCATAAAATAATAAATTAAATTAAAAAATATAAGATTAATAATATATATATATGTATGTATGAATGAGAAAGAGAGCTTACAATCAGCCTTGGTAGCACTAATGAGCTGAATACTGACAGAGCTACCAGTTATGGCACTGATACCATCAACTGCTGAGCCAACAATGTCGATTCCAGTCCCAATAATCCCACTCACACTCGTTATGTTGTTGAAATCAAACACGTTCTTCTTCATCAACACCACCGTCCCCTTCACCTTGTGGCTTCTGCTCCACAACCTTCTCAACCTCGTAAACATTTTTATATATCTTACTTGATTCTCTATATCTTCTGCAACTGTAAGTTACGTATTTATAGACAAATTTATCAGTAGTTTAGAAGGACTTATAAAGAATCAAATGTTGCGTGAAAGAAATGTCAAGTATATATATCTATATATATGTATGTATTTATCATTAACAGTGAGAATAAATTAATGAATCAGATGTTCCGTGAAAAATGGAAGGTTCGCATTCTTTATTCTTGATCACTAGCTTAAGATTGCAGTCACTTTTAGCAGCAGGGTTTCGTTTTACAGTAGGGATGACTTCAAATTCTTTTCTTTCTGCTCATTTTGGTCTTCTATATACCTATCATGTTAATACCATCTTTTCAATTTTCTCTCTTTTATAATATTAATCATCCTATTTCGTATTTATAATAATATTTTCCATTCATTCTAATTTCATTCAATATTTAAGTAAATACAAATTTTTCGTTATTGTAATCAAATATTAATGTACTAAGAAGTATATTTTTATGTCGTTATAATTCAAATAATAATGTATTACTCATTTTCATACTTTGAATTTTATGAAAAGTTAGATAAAAAAACTTTAAAAGATAAAATTACAATTGAATTAAATGGAATAAACAAATAAAAAGAATAAAATGTTGTACCACTTTCTCTCTTACAAGCAAAACATTTTAACATTCCGCACACGTCACATGCATACGTCATATCTCACATCTTCTGCTCTTTTTAACTACATGAACACTTTTAATTTGCACATTTGGAATATTAAATTCTAAAAATAGTAAATTTAGAATTAATTAAAAATTTAAATGTAAATATATATAACTTAAGTTTGTTTGAATGATTGAAAATTTTATTAATATATATCATTATTTTATTAATTACATCATGAGTATATTTATATTGTTCTCCAATCATCTGAAATTATCTTTCTTCTTGTGTTATCCCTTTATCCTTTTCTCTAAATTAAAGTTAATTCTTTATAAAAATTCAATGGTCAAAATAACATTACAAATATAAAAATTTATTAGTATATGGTCAGGATCTTAATTATAATTTTTAAATTAAAATAAAAACGTTTAATTAACTAGAAGCTAAATCTAATTTGTATAACTAGTTTTAAAGAATTTTTCTGAAAAATCTTTAATAATTTCATTTCCTTTATTCTATAACTTCAAGCTCCTCAAGTTCAGTATCAACCTTCTTTAAAACTCTTTTAATTTATTTCATATACTAAAGACTTTAAAAACAAGATCAAGATAAATATAGTGTTATTTAGTACTATACACAATAACAAATGTTCTATTTTTTTTTTTGTATTTGAATTAACGTTATATATAAACTTGATTATCAAGAGTATGAATGTATGTATTGTTGAGTTTTAATCTATTATATTTTTATTTTTAAAAGTCGTCTTGATAAATTGAAACTCATCAAAAAGGTAAATTATTTTACTTTATGAATGTATGTATTGTTGAGATTTAATCCATTATATTTTTATTTTTAAAAGTGGTCTTGATAAATTGAAACTCATCAAAGAGATAAATTATTTTACTTTATGATTAATTTATACCATTATAATGTATGATAAACTAATCAAACCGTTCAGATTGTGAGATGATATGAAAGACTAAGTGAAAGGAATAAGATTAATTAATGTAAAAATAAGGGTTGTAATCATAAACTGGCAAAGATAATGTGTACAAAGAAGAGGTGAAGAACTAACTGAAGTATTTCAAATTTCGTAACTCAGTTTTGAAATATCATAAAACTAGTTGTTAAAATAAAAAAGGAAAAAACTAACCACTTGATTGAACAAAACAAACAACAAATTATAAACACAACAAAATATGAACAAAGTTTACTAGCAAAATATAACACTACACTACACAGACATTAATGTTTTAATACACACTTAAGAAAAATCTCAATTTTCAAACCCACACTGGTTTAGATAGAGATACTGTTGGGAATTCCTCTAAAAGTCAACCCCGTTTCACTGGTAGGAAGAAGCAAAGTATAGGGCAATTGAGCTGGCCCAGTTCGATTTTTAAGATTTGGATCATTGTTCCTTTCTGAGATTCTTGTCTCAATCTCTGCTAGACTATTTCCAAACTTTTTAAAGGCTTCTATTGCCCTTGGATTAGAGGACCAATTTGGATTGTCCCTCTGTCCGAGGTACACCTCATCAGAAGCATGTCTTGATAATATTTCTATCACTGAAAGATCAACAAGAGCCTGATACTTTGGCGTGATTGTTCTCAAATAAGCCTTTTGAGCATTATTTGCCATCTCTTCATATTCTGGAGTTCCTTTTTCTGGGATCAATCTTCTGCTTATAGTTGGACGATTGAGGATAAAGCCACCATAAGGATATTGTCCAAAATTAACTGCTGCGTGAAAAGCCGAAGCAATCCATATGATGGTACTACAAGATTGAATAAGCTCTTCGCGAGTGTGTAGTTTAGGCCACCACGGCTTATCTTTTAAGTCAGCATGACCCTTCTCAACAACTTCTTTCCACCATGCTTGGAGTTCAAGATCTTTTTTAATTGCATCATCTGTGATATAGTACAACGAGACATAGTCATGGACCCATGTCTTGATAGCGTTCCATATCTCTAATCCATCAACAGCATAGGGGTAGTCCTTTATCACCAGACGGAGGCCATTGGGAGAAGATGAATCCTCAATAGCCATTCCTCTAATCAGTCCAAGAAAAATTGTTATTAACAGCCAAAGTATCTCGGATAGCTGTGGCTGACATCAAAGGAAAATGTATGCGTTTTTACAGTAAACAAATGTGTTTTAAAGTTAGTTTTTCACATGCCTTAGGTAATCAATCCTTGTGATTCCCATTTTTACAAAATTAAAAGATGAATATTAATTTACACGCTTCAAGTTCTTAAAACTCTTGCATGAAGTAGGGATGTGACAGATGTAAAACTATTTCATGTTCATATAGCTTACCTCTTGATAAGATCAGTAGGTAATGCTTGGTGAGGAAACACCCATTTTTTGTAAGCTGCTGAAGAGATCTCCATACAATACTTTCCACCCAAAAAGGATTGCTCTATAACGCCCTTAGCATTAATTAGTGATTGTCGAGCAAGTGCATTGATATGCATTGTGTCACGATAGTGAGGAAATAGAAGTTTATACACAGGGTGAAGAACACTGAGATTCCTGTTTGTTGCTATGACAAAGGGTTCAATCACAGCATGAGTATTCAACCTGTGACCCCATTTATATAAAAAAGGATTAGGAATCATTTCCTGTACAGGTATTAAAATTGTATTTAATGATTTCAATGACAGAGTTCAGACCAGTGGCTTATGAGCTGATGATAGGATGAATCATTCACAATAACATGAGCCTTGGCTAATAGCCAAATTGTACTTTCAACTCCATGGTTTGCAGGAAGGATCACTCTACTATCAGCACCAGGTTGTTGTTCACCTGAATGTGGCAAACTTAATTCGATGGCCAATGGCTTTAAGGTTCCATCATCTTTCAAGAAAAGGATTGTCCTCGTGGCATAAGCTTTTATTGATTTGGATTCGTTTAACCTTCTCAAAAACGGCATAAACACGTCATGGTGATCTAATATGAATAGTCTCTTATATTCAATTGCCTGTTCCACAAACACAATTTTAACACATCCAGTTTTATGGATTCAAATCTCAGATAACAGTTTAGCTAAAAGAAAAGAAAAATTGCTAATAACACACTATTTAATATTTACTATAGCAGAAATTCAGATAAGGCTTTATTGGAACACATTTATCATTGCCTTATCTACTGTGAGCCCTTCAAGGTTAGTCTCCAAGTGTTGTGCAGTCATTTTACTTGTTTGATCACCGTACACTTTGGGATCCAACTTGCTTTGTGGTGGAAACTTCTGTCATTCATAAAAGAACATTATAAGGAAAGATGACAAGCAAACATTTTTTTTTTCCTGCACTGTGTTATACGGTGCAACTTTCAACGCAGAAGTAAGAATGAAACATTTGGACTTACTTGTAGACGGCGAATCTCGCAAGGGTTTACACCTGCAATCATTTCTCTTGCAAACTCTTCATCAGTCATCCATGCAGATTTACTAACTGCTCCAAATAATGAAGAAAATTATCGTCAAAATGGGTTGCATATTCAATTATGCTGTCAAGTTGATGAAGTTTCACACCTCTAATTACATGAGGTACTGAAAACTTGAGGACTTTTTCACCATCAGTGCGGAATATTTCTTTGAGCACAGGTAAGGGGCTAATTTTGCAGAGTACATCTGTAGGCAGCTTGATTCCACCTTCACATAGAGCACGTACTTCGTCGAAGCTATCAAACTCATTTTGTGTGAAATTTAAATCGAATGCAGATTTGAGCGTCGGCAAAAAGTTTCGAGATAAAGCTTTGATCCCATAAGTAAGGAAGTCAGATGACTTCAAATGACCAAAATTTTCATCTCTTGGAACATAAACATCATCGCTCGGTTTCTCACAGTTGGAATCTGTCACGGAATAATACTAGAAATATTATCAACCACAACTACAGAAGAAAACATATCTCAAGCATTGCACAAAACACAGTCTATACGTTATATATAGAATTTAAGATTTTTTTTCATTATTTTCTAGCTAATTATAGATTTCTAATTATTCATACTATACAAATCTTAACACGTATGAGATTAAACTGCATAATATAAATAAAAGAAACAAAATTGAGTTATGTTTAAGAAATAGAAGTGTAACCCTTTTTTGTTGGCTTTCCTCCTGTTCTTCCTCTACGAGGGTAGGGATAAGTGACAGATCCTCCAAGAACTGGGCGAGCAAAGTCTTCACCATTGTCGGGTTTGCCCAAATCATTGTAAACATCGTAATCATAAACTCTATCCCATTCCTTGCGCTTTCCTGTTCCATTTCCTTTTAGAACCAGCAATTCTGCTTCTCTGTAAGTAACTAGTGGACCTGGTGTTTCACTTGGAACATATGTCTGCAATATATATTCATTTAACGTTCATTATCAAAACAAAAATCTAGCGAAACGAACTACATTGCTATTATTTTATGATAATCACTAAAATTTATAGTGTTTTAGTTTTATAACATATGGATATATACTTGGTAGTTGTAAATGGTAGTTTACCTCGTTGGCAAAGAAAATTCGATCCTTTTCGTAACTTTTATAATTGTAAACCCATGAGTTACAGGCAAAGTGCATTGTTCCATGATTAGGAATATCTTCAAGAGTTAAACTGACGAGGAAGAACTCAACTTGCATATGATTTTGTATTAAAAATGCTCCAGGAATTCCCATGTCACTCTCCCATTCAAAATGAATATCAAATGCAGATTGGCCAGCTCCCAAAGTTGGTATCGAGGTAATAATTCCTTCCAAATATGTCTTCTTTCCCACTTTTCCATTTCCATTTCCTACACAAGGTAAAAATCAATATGCCATTAAATAATGCACCAGTACTTGATATAATATATAGAATTAGAAGACCCTGCAAGTTGCTTTCTATTAACTAAGCCAATCTTCATTCTTTTATGTTATTTTTTAAGAATGATATTTAGATCTCATATTTCATCAATTTATTTTCTTTCTACCACATTATATCATTTATTATATTTTTTCTCTCTTTTATACAGCAATATTTTTATTACACTTTTTACACAAAGAAGTGTAAAACAAAAATAACGTGAACCAAATCATACATAGCGTTGCAACAATAAACAATGTCAACGCTCGGTTGTTGAGAGTATTCCAACAATGGAGCATTGTTTGATATTTCTTACCTAACAATAATAAAATACATTATGAAACATTATTCACCATGGATTGACTTATTCATTGATTTTATTAATTTTTATTGATGTAAATATTTTTAATTTTTAAGTTATTATTTAGGTTACGTTTTATGCCTATAAATGAAGATATTAATTTATTATTTTTAATTTAAATTAAGTATTGAATCATTTTTATTATTTTTAAATAACAAAAAAAATATTAAATTTATTTTGATTTAAATATTTATAATTGAGATATTATTTATATATGATATTTTATCATTTTATTATTATTATTATAATATATATATATATATATATATAATAGATGAATAAAAAATATATTCATATTTCATGTATCAGAAATATTTAAAATCTTAAAAATTCTTATCAAACAGATATTTTATTTAGTAAAATCTAAATATCTAATTTTTTTTCTTCTTTTCTATATATATCTTGAATATTCTTTCATAGTAGTTTATGTTATGTAGTTATTTAGTTTTTTTTTTTAAATAAGTTATACACGAGAATAAAGGAGGTGAGTAAGATAAGAATCTAAGAGAAACAGTTGTTATTTATAGCTGCATGATTTGGATATATATAAAAATAATAATAAAATTATTTAATATCCTTTAAAATTTTAAAATATTTCAACCTTTAAAAAACATTCAAAATGAGTTGGAACCATATTTTTGGTGGTCTTTTGTTGTATTTTTTGATTTAATGTTAATAGATCGATTTTCATAATGATTTTTTTGCTGGGTTTTTATAAACAGATTTTTTCTTTAGAATAAGTTGAAGATACAACAATCAAAATAAACATCACAAAAACTCCTATAAAAGGACATATATTATTAATAAAAACATTAAATAAAAATATAAAATATATCTTAATAGTTTAAGTGTTGAGTTTTAAAAATTAAAATATAAATAAATAAAAAATATTTAATAAAATAGTTATGGCACAATTTTTTTCTATTTTTAATATAAAAAAAATGATAATCATTTTTAATACAAAGAAGGTGAAGTTGCAGCAGTAAGAAAAGAAGACGGTTACCATCAGCAGCGGTGGCACTGATCAACCAGAGAGCCACAGATCGTCCAACAAAGGAAGTCAGAGTGTCAACCGTTGTTCCCATCAAACCACCCACAACACCGATGGCGCCGCCGACGAAACCGGTGGCACTTTTAGCATATTTAAGGGCGTTGATATCCAGCACATTCTTACGCATCAACACCACCGTTCCCTTCAGCTTCATGCTTCTCTTCAACAACCCTTTCACCCCTGAATACATTTTCAGTTACTTCTTCACTCTATGATTTTTGTTTCCTTGTTCCTTCTGAGCTAGTTGACTGTGAGGAACACACCACAGTGATCCATGGTACTTATAAACAAATTAATGAACGAACAGACAAATTAACCAAATCAAAGGTACCCATTGGATGGGTTCCATTCTGCATACCATTAATAATTTGGTTTCGTACATTAGTTTTCTCCACTTCACATTCAGCTTTTTTCATTACTGCCTACCAACAACCATTCAAGTCCATTTACAAGCAAGACAGAGGAATAAGAAAAACGTGTTGTGAAAATTGCAGCACAAAGACAGACAGTCCTTCCTACTTGATTTCTGACACAGTTTTTTAGCTCCTTTGATTTAAGTATTTAGGTAGTGTTGTCAACATCTTCTTTGAATGCTTCATCTATCTTCTCCTCTACTTCTGACAATGACATATTATATAATAATACTTCACACTCTCATTCTTTATCTTCAATGTCCATGTATTAAAGTCTTCCACCTATTGGCCATGAGTGATGGAATTAATTGAAGTATTTTGTAAGAAGTAAACAAACAAAATACATGATATCGATAATTGTTAATATTAATAGTTTTATTTTAAATAGGTTTTTATTATATTTATATCTTTTATATTCTATCTAGCTAGGAAACATGTGGTAAAATATTTGTACACAGACTTAATTTGTGCATGAATATACTGTTTCAAATTCTCTTCTGTGATAGGCTTCAATCACCATGAATTCGTAGAAAAATTTGTCACAAAACTTCATCGACCTTATACTTGTGTTTCTTCTATCAATTATTTTTCTGGCTAATCCGTGTGAATTTACACTTCATGCTTCTGTGTACCAAAAATGTATGACGTGTAAGCCACGTTACACACGTTTTTCTGCAAGGCAACAAACATTTCATTCATAAACATAATATATATATATATATATATATATATATATATATATATATATATATATAGCAGGAGTCATTTACAACAACATAAGCCTTCGCCAGTAGCTAAATTGTGCTTGCAGCGCCTTGGTCTGAAGGCAAGATAACTCTACTAACAGCACCAAACTTATCTCCCCTAGGATGTGGTAGACTTAATTCAATAGCTAATGCCTTCAATGTGCCATCTTCTTTCAAGAAAAGGATTGTCCTTGTGGCATAAGACTTTGCGGTTGGCAGGTCATTGATTTTCCTCAGATACGGTAAGAATGTGTCGTGGTGATCTAATATGAACAATTTGTTACCATTCAGTGCCTGTTTATCAAATATCATAATAATCATTTAGTGTTATGGTTAATACTATATCATCGATAATAAAAATGAGAATTAATGGCGCTTTCATACACACAATTCTATCAAATTGAATAAGAATATTATAGACAATAAATAGATTCTTAACAAGTTGATTTGATAATGTGTTTTGGAATTAACTATTAAAATTGAAAAATAAAACCCTAACCTCTTTGTTTTTTCTCTACCAGTTCTTCCCTGTACAGGGAAAATCATTGAAAGATATTATTTTACTCTTTATCTAATAATATTTTTTAAGTTAATTATTTTTTTCATAAATCATATATTTAACATATTTTCATAAAAAACATATCATAATTCAAATTTTAATTTATTGTATTTTGTATAATTTTATAATAAAAAAAATAATATACATGCATATATCCAGAGTCTATATTTCTTTTCTTATTTTGTAGGAGAAAAAGAAGTTGAGATAAGACAAATTAATAAAAAAAATGTTCAAATTAATGTCATGGACTTTCACTCTGTTTGGAAATCCAAATTTGTTTGTATAGTCCACTTGCAAAACGTTACTAATGAAAATTTTAAATCAAGCAAATTAATTAGTTCCAATTTAGTTGAATTAAAAACCAACAGGAACCAATAATTAAATACATATCAATGCTTATCACTCAAAATAGGAAAGAAACATTATTTTCTCCAAATCGAGTCCCAAAAATTCTCTTCACCGCAATCCAATTTTGTAATTTTTTATTTTAAAAACATTTGATTTTATTGTAATTAATTTTAGACTTAATTTCTCTAGTTAAATCTCCTATAAATAGAGGTCTTATGATAACACAATCATAATCCCCTACTCCAGGTTAGAACTATTGTTTTGTCTTGTCCCTATTTTCTTTTTCTACTCTATTTTTTTAGTTAGATGAGTTCATTATATTGTTACTGCATTCCCAGTTTATTCTATTTTATTTAATTTGTAATTTCTATTAAATTTATTAATTTATATGATTATATTTACTTTATTTTTTAGTACTAATTTAATTTCTATTATTTAATCATTTAAATTTTTTATTTTTATTATATTACTGATTAATTTTTATTTTCAATTCATCTTTATGTAAAAGAGAATTTAATAGTTTTAGAATAATATAATAAAATAAATTAATAAACCTTTCAAAATAGTTTTTTTCTATAAAAAAAAGTCAAAATTTTGTTATATTATATTTTTTTATACAGAAAATTACTAATGTTAAATATAAATATAAAACTTCATATAAACTGCATTTGAAAATTAAATCACTTAATATTAAATAAAAAATGGATCGAACAAAAATTATATTTTGTTTAAGACTTACTTTATATTTTTACCAAAAATTATTATTAGAAAAAGAAAATTGTTTAAAATGGTTGAACAACTCTTTGGATTGGTTTGAAAAAATATAATATTTTGTTCACTCGAGTGATGAGTTGTTATTAAAAAATTCTCATGCGGAACACGAGCTTTTGTTCACTTCTCACAGAAGTACTATTTAATAAATATAATAAAGTCCTTTTTGGCATCGAACGATAATAATGGGACACATTTTGGCTTTTCTTCATGCATGGCTTTTCTTCATCCCACCTTTCAAAACTTGTCATCGTCTTCACACACTTATTGAATATCTTCATCACTTTTGTTCATTTTAGCCATATATAAGTTTCTTTAAAAACAAGATTAAGAAGAAAATATATATAGTTATATTAAGTGAATTTTATATCTTGTTATTAGTTATTATATTATGATAATTTTTAAGAAATATCAATTTAAAGACTATTTTCCAATATTATAATAACCATTGAATAATGGAATCTATTTTAAATTGATTATCTATTTTGTATCAATAAATTAATTAAACATTTTTTAATCAACAAATTAACTAAAGACTTTATTTGGAGCTACAACTCTGGGAATGGAGCATCAAGTATAAATATCTACACATGTTAGTGTGAAATTCATTAAACTTAGTTTTTTCCTCCAAGGAGAGAGATAATAACCTAATTTTATAATTATCAAAACAAAATGTTTAAAAGAAACTGTAGAGAGAAAATGTTAAAGTTAAAAAACAATCCCATGATAAAGCTAGACTCATGATTGAGATGAACATGCAATGCAACCTGCACAAACACACTAAGTCATGATCGTCTGTCAGTTCAGCATAGTCTTTGGTTCCTGGTTCAGAAAGCAATCTTCTGGTTATAGTTGGACGGTTTAGGATGAAACCTCCATACGGATATTGTCCAAAATTCACAGCTGCATGAAGAGCTGAAGCAATCCAAATAACAATGGAGCAAGTGTGGACCAGATCTTGAGGAGTGTTCAACTTTGGCCACCATGGCTTGTCTTTCAAGTCACCATGACCTTCATCAACAGCTTCCTTCCACCAAGTTTGGAGTTCAGTGTCTTTCTTAATGGCATCATTTATGGGATAGTAGAAGGAAACATATTCTTTAACCCAACTCTGAATACTATCCCATATTTCTAGTCCATCAACAGCATAAGGGTAGTCCTCTAGCTACCACAAGGCGAACAATACTAGAAAAAATCATTTTAGCGACCGATTTAAATCGATCGCTAATCAATGACAAAGTTAATTATTCTTATTTATTTACATTTTTATTTATATTTATTATCTCGTCTGTCAGTTCAGCATAGTCTTTGGTTCCTGGTTCAGAAAGCAATCTTCTGGTTATAGTTGGACGGTTTAGGATGAAACCTCCATACGGATATTGTCCAAAATTCACAGCTGCATGAAGAGCTGAAGCAATCCAAATAACAATGGAGCAAGTGTGGACCAGATCTTGAGGAGTGTTCAACTTTGGCCACCATGGCTTGTCTTTCAAGTCACCATGACCTTCATCAACAGCTTCCTTCCACCAAGTTTGGAGTTCAGTGTCTTTCTTAATGGCATCATTTATGGGATAGTAGAAGGAAACATATTCTTTAACCCAACTCTGAATACTATCCCATATTTCTAGTCCATCAACAGCATAAGGGTAGTCCTCTAGCTACCACAAGGCGAACAATACTAGAAAAAATCATTTTAGCGACCGATTTAAATCGATCGCTAATCAATAACAAAGTTAATTATTCTTATTTATTTACATTTTTATTTATATTTATTATCTAACTCCTCTCTATTTATCTAGAAACTCTCCTACCTCCTTGTCAGGATTCTAACCTGGAACCTTAGAGTTGGAGGCTGAAACTCCAACCACTAAACTACTAGGATTGTTCAATAATAACTTACAAATAAATTATATTTATATACAAACAAATGTATATATGTATAAATATATATAAATATAAAATATATAAATACAAATATATTTACATATTTTAATATATATTTAAATATTTATATATTTATATATTTATATATTTATATATTTATATATTTATATATTTATATATTTATATATTTATATATTTATATCTTTATATATTTAAGAAAAAATTAAATATTAAATTTTAAAGTAATATTATATTTTTAAAAATAAATATTAGAAAAAAGTTTAAAAATATATATAAATTATATTTACATGTACAAAATATTAAAGATATATATTTATATCTTTACATATTTATATATTTATATATTTATATCTTTACATATATTTATATCTTTATATATTTATATCATTATATCTTTATATCTTTATATATT